CCAGAACTCTCATTTATGCTTTTTATGATCACTCTTCAAATAAATGGATTTGCACTCAAGTCCTTAACTCAGCATTTCCCTTCAAGGAGAATCAAGCAAGCCACTGGGTCATCTTTTCAGTTACAGATGAAAGTAGAAAAAGTTTCCAGTGGGGTGGAGCTCCTTGGGGCCATGAATCCGCCATCCACCCGTGAGTCCTCAAGATAAACTTTAGCTGGTTATTGGGGTATGTTTGGGAGGGACATTAAACACAACCAAACCAAACCAAACACACTGCCGTCGAGTTGGACCTGACTCATAGTGTCCCTTCCTTGGGTTTCCAAGGCAGTATCACTACAGAAGTAGATTGCCAAACCTTCTTTCTGAGGAGTGGCTGGTGGGTCTGAACCCTCAGCCTTCTGGGTAGCACTATGCCACCAGAGCTCCCATTAAACACAAGGTTATTAGAAAACATAGAGTCTTGGGCTTCAATGTGGTCAGAATAAGATAGTAAAACAGTGTATGAGTTGGTGAGTAATGCATTTAAACATTTATGAGGTTATCACATGCACTATAATGCCGAACTGGGTTTTGGTTTGAAACTGCCACCATTTATATTCAGCATTCAGCAGTGCCTGGAAAATGAACAAACATGATTTTAATAGCGGGTCTGAGCACTCTTCAGAGTGTCTGTGGTGGTTACATTTGTGTGTCAACTTGGCCGGGCCTGGTTGAGTGGCTGGGCAGCTGAATGTAGTTATTCCCCATGGTGATACTGGTTATTAACTCCATGGTGGAATGTATTGGAGCAGCTGAGTAGCTGCTTTGGGTATGTGGTCTGCTTCCCATATATAAGAAACAGCTTTGGGAATGGTCTCTAGCTCACGGCACGCTTGGACCCTGCATATAGCCGTGTTGTTGTTCAGCAGCCTGCCATGCTCTGCTGACTTTGGGACTTTCAATGAACTTGAATTAATGGCCTTGCTGTGTAGTTTGGTAACATCGGAACTGTGCCTTTTTACTTATCAATCTTGGGCGTGTCAGTCTTAGCAGCCAGCAGCTGTCTGAGTGAAGAAAAGCCTCTAGCTTCAGAGGGCATGTAGCAGAACTGAAGCCCAAGGTTGAGGGGCTTTCACCCAAGCCCCTAGAGCCTGGCACATGGAACTCGGACTTAAAGCCTCCAAATTATAAATAAACTCCTGTTTGTTAAGACCATCCCATTTGTGGTATATTCTTGTCAGAGCAGCACTAGGTAACCAGAACAGTGTCCTTAAAGATGGTACCTTGGTATTGATGTTCTTGTTTTATATTTTGTTGTTGAGAATATGCACAGTAGAACATACACTAATTCAACAATTTTGCATGTACAATTCTGAGACATTGAATTGTGCAACCATTCTCACCCTCCTTTTGAGATGGTCCTCCTCCATTAACTCATTGCCCTGTTTCATATTGATGTTAACCGTAAAAATTGTCTACAAAAAACACACAAAACCCTTGAGTTTCTAGGGAAGGTCCTTTCCTTCTGCCCTACCTCCTAAGAGACATGACAGGGGACAGTTCACCAGTGTCCTCACTGACCTGCAGGGTTAGGGCTAGAATGGCTGAGAGCATCTAGTTAAATTCAACCAACCACAGAGCTGGGGCTAGAACACAAATGTCCTGCCTCCCAGTGTCTAGTCCTCTTTCCACAGTAGCCACTGGGATCATTCCAATACAAAGTAATTTTGGAGGCTAACAGCCATGAGAATTTTCAGATTCAATTTCAACAAAGTGTTACCATTTAAGAAAGACTGCCAAAAAGATAATGGGGATGAAGAAATGCTCTGGAAACTATAAAGTTCTATCCAAAGGTTAGCAATCTGTGGTTTACTGCCAAGGTCAACAAACCCAAGCTCGGATGTAGAGCCAGCTCCTAAACTGAAAGAGCTCAGGGAAGACTGGCCATTCAAGGGTCCCTTTCTCAAGATACTAGTGGATTTGCTGGGATCAAAGGGACAGAGTATGTTGCCTGTGTGCCATGTCTACACTCCTGTTTTAAGTACAACATACTCAAGTCGATTAGAATTAATGCTTGTGTGTTAAACCTACTATTTTCTGGTGTTTTCACTTGTGTTTCAGAGGTCACATACTGAGCTCTAGCCACCTGCACCACTGAGCAATGGTCACCTCTCCAAGGTTTCCAACCGTCTGGGTCCATTAGTGTTTTACTTCCACATGTTTGTATCTGTCCCAGCTGCATTTGAGTTTAGATTCTGCACATACTCTGGCTCTCAAAACCACATTCTTTTGCCTTCACACTACCTCCTTGTCATCCAACTGAATAAGCACTGTTTCTCTGGCTTGGCTCATGAAAGGGGATCCTGACAAAGAGTAAACTCTCCAAGCGCCCAACACTAGAAGGGCGGCAGTGTGTTTGGTGACCTTGCCATTAAGTTAACAATCCGGGTCTGGGCCCAGGCTGGGTGAGCCTGTGAATAATGGGGAGCTGACTGCAAAGCCTTATCATGGTGAAGCTGAGAGGCAGAGCATGCTTTGTCCTACACTTCCCTGATTCTCTCCCCAAGGGCCTTTTCTTAAACCATCCAAGCTAATGGGCTTCTGTGGCAGGCATTCATTCTTCACAGCTCTGATTCAGGCCACTGTGCACGGATTTGGTCTCAGATGTTTCTACACTTAAGGGCTTGTAAAACAGTGAAAGATAGCAGATAAACTTACAGAAAGCCGCCTGTTCTCTGTTAGAAAGAAGGTTCTACTTTATTTCTCTACTGTAATTGGAGTTTTGAAGAGCCCAAGTTAAAGGTGCAGGGAAGGGATGAAATAAGAACACTACAAGGCACAATGTTGCAGAATCCTGCCAACTTGACTTTCTTCCACCCATTTCTCAAATGGTACATACCCATGAGAAAGAGAGAAACTTAGAGGGAAGATTTTTATTGCTGTATAGATATTGGGGGTTGGGGTGGGGGGGAGACAAAGCTTTCCTAAGGTGGTTTTTTTTTTTTTTAGGGACCAGCCCCGTAGTAAAATTATTTTTACTGGTTAAGATCAGAAGTTGTTGGGCAAAAATTAAGAAATGAAAGGTCTTACTAATTTCTAACTGGTTTGCAAAATTATCGTTCTGAAGGACTTGGCTAGGGTAATTCTGGGACTCAACGTCCTAGACAAATTAGCCATCTTTCCACACAAGTTAAGGTCTAAATGTGAGCTGTGTTTCTTCTTTAAAAACTAGTTACCAAAGTTGACAAGTAGGTGGGCTCAAGGGGATAGGTTAGTCACTGGCCAAGGAGGGGCCCTCTCTTTACCTGGTACCCCTTTGGATCGATTTTTTAGTCAGAGTTCAAGAAGTGAGACCAACCAGCAGCTGTGTACTTAAACTTCCAGGTTACAATTCCCTCAACTACCCATCACCCATAAATAGTTAAGAGAGACAGCCAGCCAGTCAGAAACAAGAAGCCAGGTGGCTTTTGCTGGCTTTAAGTATGAAAGCGCTGAGGGAAAGAAAGAGGCAGTTTCCAGGCACTTGGTAAACTGAAAGCAAACTTCTTTATTGTACACAGTACAGAATATAACGCAGCTTGGCAGGATGCATACGGCCCTGCACAGGGGAAGGTATTTCAAATCAACTGGCAGGTTAAAGCCTTTCTGCACTGTAGACTTTCCACACTCTGGAAAAAGAAGCCAAAAAAAAAAAAAAAAAAAAAAAACCCTCCCCAAAAGCCAAAAAAACCATCCAGAGGTGCATGAGTCCGATGGGAATGCAACGGTGATGCCGCCATCCTCTGTCCCGTGACAGCACAGGCCATGCGGTCACAGCAGGGGAGGGGGAGCTCAGGCGACAGAGGATTATTTTCATAGTTTCGAAGACAGCATAAATCCACCTCCCTCCAAAACAGAAGGGAAAAAAAAAAAAAAAAACCCAAACCAGGATAAGACAGGAAAAACAAATCCTATACAGCATTTACAACAAATCACTCTAGCCAGCTGGGGGTAAAGTATGCATGTATGTATAGACTATGTGTCGGTTAGAAAGCTATAAATATGGTCTAGAAAGAGTCCTTTGATTAGAGTACAATGCTAATTAAGGCCCAAGCTATAGGTTCAATACCTTTGGGGGCCAATTAGCGTCCAATAGAGGAAAAGCTTATGTTTCCATAGCTATAAAATGCACCCCTTTGCCCTGTGAGCCACTTTCACAAATGTGCTGTTGGTCATAGGGAAACTTTTAGAGACCAAAGGGAGCTCCATTTACAGAAAAACAACTCCAAATGTGTCTTCCACTCACTGGGTCAGCACTGTCCCCTTTACATGTGAAGAACAGCCTAGTCACTCTTAACATACTTAGTGGCACAGGGTGCACAGAATCCTACCAACGGAGCCAGTAACAAGGTACCACCACTTCCTCATCATTTTTCCTCTATTCTGAGCTCAGCTGTCACATAGCTTTAGCTTGGTTGTTTACAACGTTTTCAGTATAATACAGCAATCAGAACAAACTTTTTCAAAGAAAAGGTGGCAGGAAGCAAAAATGCTAGCACTGTTTTTACCTGTCAGTGTCACACAGAAGTCTCAAACCCCATTGAATCATATGCAGGGTTCAAAGTCCAAAACGTAAAGGAAAAAGAAAACAAAGCAAACTGATGAAATGGAAATTGTCGTCGTCGTGCCCAGATAAGAGTACCTAGGGTTCCCACCAGGTGGCCAGGTTTCAAATGGACATGACATGTATTATGTACATATGCTTTCCAGAGAGGGCATGGTAGTGAACATGGAGAACTATACACACAGAATTGAAGCTGGGTGTCCAGAATGCCCCGCATACTTCAAAATGTACAACTCAGGTGCAAATATTCCGTCAGGTTGTCTGGTGCAGAAAGCACAAAGCAGGCAACAAGCGGGCTTTTACATGGCTCCGGGGAAGCCCCCAGCAAAGCCCCTTTCAAGCTGCAGCGTCTTCATAAGTCGGCACGGCCTCATCTAAAGGATGCAGTGCACAGTTACCAAAAGTTTTTTTTTTTTTTCTTTAAATACCAAAACTACAAAAATCAGTTTATAAACTGTTTTTTTTTTTCTTCCCCCCAAACAGCCACCAAAACAAAACATCCCCAAATCAAAGCAAAACAAAATACTGTTAAAAGTGTTAACCACCTTTCTCCTAAAAAGAAAGCCAGCCATACAGAGCCATGGGACTGGGAAGATAAAGGGGGCTTACTTGACTTGGTGATCACATGATCTGAAGGTTCTCAAGAGTAGTGATTTACTGAGAACCACGGAGTGAGTAATAGCTGTCCTGACTTTCTCCTCTTCTTTCTAGACCAAGGGGAAGTGGTTTGGATTGAGCTCCAAATTCCAAGATGAATTTTTAACTCTTCATGGTTTGAGCCTCCCCAACTTAGCCTAGCTACTCTCCTATGTATTTATGATTTTTTTAATACATTGTGCAAATCAGAGCCCTTCTGTATAAAGGCATTTAGTAGTCCGCAATCAATAAAGATTGTCACATACTCTCTCTCCTGCTTTGCGGGTACTAACCTGAACAAGGTATTGCTTTGCATATATTGTCCATGGTAAGGAGGCTCCATTTCAATCTCTTCCCAGAAACCTCGTTACATTCAGAGTGGAGGCACCAGCCCCTTCCTCTTGGTAGTTTTCTGCCCTCCCTGTTTCCACTCCCTAGCCAAGGTATCGGTCTTTAAAGGTGCCAATCCAGAAATGGCTTGGGCTCTCCAGATAATACTCAAAGGGCAAGCTTTAGGAACAGCCAAAAACACAAACAAAACCACTGCCCTCATTTGCCTGAATGGGAACTGCCTAGCTCTAGGGTTTGGTTGCTCAGCCGCTCAGTAACTTAGTAAGCAAAGCCTTCAGCATAGGGGAGGCTGCTGCAGCGATCCACATCCAGGAGGTAAGCGGGGTTGTCTTCAAAGTGGGTCAGTGGCAGGGTATCCTCCTCGTTCAGGTGGCACTCAGACTCTGCCTTCAGAAACGGACGCTGATTGTCAGGGAAGGCCATGGAGAAAAGGGCATCCGGGTCACAGACAAATTTGTAGACATATCGCTCGCCTGCCACCTGAGAGAGAAAACACACCTTCAAGACCCAGCTGGAACAGGGCATGGGATAAGGGAAGAATAGTGAGATTGCTGTAAAGTCATTAAGCTCTCAGCGACCCAGGCACAAAGCAAGCTCATTAGCTAGCTGTTTAGCCAAATCATTTGGATTTATTTTGATAACTTGTGGGAATGATTACCTGCCAAGCATTTTGTTGACACCGCAGCTCAGCAGTTGAAATAGAAGATGTTTGCAATTCAAAATCACACTAGATAGGCTTTTTAAAAGAAAATCCTCACTTTCTATTTTAGAATGGTTATGCTGAGGCTGGTGCCTGGTGTTACAAGAAACGATAAGGATTGAGAGGTACAGTGCACAAATCAGACCACGTTTTCACTTCCCTCCAAAGTTCACAGTCTTCACAGTATAGCTTTGTTACTTAGATGGGTTAAGGATTTTATTAGAAAACGTGTGGAAATTTTAAGTACATTCAAAAGCCAAATAGAACTGCTTCTTGGCTTACCAGCAATTTTAAATTACTCAATCCATGCTGCCTTTACACTGAAGGAAGATAACTGATAACTACCTTTGTATGGATTTTATGTATCATAATATTATTAGAACCAAAAAGGTCTTGATTATTCAAGGGGCTAATGATGTAGTTGATGAACTACCTAGGTCAATGGGATCACCCACTCTTTCTTTGCTGATTGTTTAGCAACAGTAAAAGAAAGCACAGAAGACTGGACATCAAACCTCATAATCGGCTTCAGTGAAGTAACAGAGGGGTAAGGGAGGGTGACAATGATTACACTTTAGATTCAAAAATTCTAACTGTTGCATTTAATCCTGCCCTTCTCTCACAGGAAACCAAAGACCAATGATAGTTAATCATTCTGTTGGTGACTCTAAGATCTTTTTAATTGAAGAAGTAAAGCTTTGCCTCTAAACACTAACTTTAGAAAGTCTGTTGCTACAGTGGCTGATTATACAGAAACCAAGTACCATTACCCCAGTAGGTCTTAAGCTTATTTTATGGTGATACATCTACATTTAGCCATCAGAACATGGTTGTTCCTTGGAACTCTAACAGAGGAACTGGGGGCTGCACATATAAAACTAGACAAGTAGCATCTCCATCAAAGGAAGCCTTAGGGAGGATGGCAGATGCACACACACTATCAACCATCCCTATTTAATTTTTCTGAAACCACAGCTTTACTATAAAGCCCTGGCTCCCAACCCCCAAAAGCCAGTATGTGCATGTGGAAGAGCGAGGCAGAAGGGTGTAGTGGAAATAGTACTAGATGAGAAGCCTAGGACTTCAGAGTCTTGAAAGAGTGAAAAGGTAATATATATATACCGTGACTGAAAACAAGTAGGGCTGGCCAGGGAAAGAGGGCACTGGGAATATTCTAGTTCTTAAATAAGGACAGTGGTTTAATAGGTGTATTTTCATTTTATACATGCTTGATAACTTACAAGCATGTTAACATTTATTCTTTGGTAAGACAAATGCTACATTAAAACATAATTAAGACTCAGGGCAGCCTTATATCCTGTATGAAGTGCTAAAAGGTCTGGAAAGCCTTCTTCCATGGAAAGCTGTTTAATATTTTACGGTAGAGAGGGGAATATGGGGTCACAGTATCATGTACCTATTAGAAAGATGGACTCGGCTTTAGTGAGGACAAATTCTCAAAAGCACTGCTCATAAGGCTCCTGCCAAATTCATCTTATTGGTTACTACCATGTAGACTGATGAAATACAGGTATTCCCCTGCTTTTTGAAAGTTCACTTTACGCCACTCACTTCTGTGAAAGCTATTAGTATCTGTTTCCACTAAAGAAATCTGAAGATTTTCACTTTTACAAAAAAAAAAAAAAAGAAAAAGAAAAACAGGCAAAAAGCAAAATCTGAGTTCAGCATTTGTTTTGCAGAGAGTTCTTAAAGAGGCAGTGCGTACCCCAAGCAGTGAGGGTGGTGTTGCCAAGCTCCTTCCCTGGGATCTACACTCAGCACCTCAGCATAAAGCCTCTCCATGTCTGAACTGTGCCTATGAACATTATATGTTAATGTTGTTGCTGTTGTTATGTGCCGTTGAGTCAGCCCCAATTCATAGTGACCCCTCTTTGGGTTTCCGAGGCGGTATCACTACGGAGGTAGATTGCCCAACCTTCCTTCCAAGGAGTGGCCGGTGGGTTTGAACCACCAGCCTTCTGGTTAGCAGTCAGGTGCCTTAGGCACTACGCTACTAGAGCTCCTTATGTTAGTGTTATTCTAGGTTTTATGTGTTATTTGGTAGGTTATTTTTGGGGTCTGGGACGACTCAAAATTTTTTCCCATATAAATTAATGGTAACTGCTGCTTCACGTTTTGGCTTATGGAACGTTCTACTTTTGGATAGAGGAGGAAACCTGGAGAATAGCACAGTATAAAATTTGGTGGCTAAGAAAGCAATCAGAGATTTGTGATACCTATCTTTTATCTATACATGGGATTTTAAGATTGACCTCTTACCATCTGTCCCAATAAGGATTTTATTCTGGCTTCCTCAAAATATGCTTCACCATCTCTATTCTCCTACCAGTTGACTTTGCGACCAATTTAAAAAGTTCAGGTTTTCATGTTGAGTTCCAGTTTCTTTAGGTTTTGAAAGAGATATAAGATTTTCCTATTCTTCTTACACTTTTGAGAATATCAAGCCAATGGATTTTGAGTCCTAGGTGTTCTAATAACTAAAGACTTCAACTAAGCTCTGTGGGAGTAGAGACTTTCAACTTGATTCCCTCATGTGCTCCTTTATGGATACAATGGTTGGCCTACTTTTCTGGACATCTTTGTTTAATAAGAGACATTCTAAGTAAAGCAGAGGAGCCTAATTTTCCTACTGTGTGTTCCACATGCAACCTCTGGCTTCCATGAACCCAAGAGTATTAAAGGCCTCCTAACATCTCATTTGATGCTTAAGTTTGTTTTTACAAGATTTTTTTCTTCCCCTATTCCAGAAGCATTTTTGAGGACAACATTCTCTGTTTATTACAGATGCCCTTGACATTTTCTTTGAAAGTGCTCAGGGTGGTCTAAATTGTCTCTTGTCATTGTCCCACCTTCTGCATGATGCCCTTTTCATAGTAATAGCGCAGAGAACGGCTGAGTTTGTCATAGTTCATGGCTGGCCGATTCTTCTGGATGCCCCAACGCCGAGCAACCTAGAGAGACAGGAAAGTAGAGAGCAATGGAAACACATTCCTTAGACCTAGTGGTTTTCTCTGAATTTCAGGACAGCCAGGTCTGTAACTTGACCGGTTTTTGTCAATGTCCCCTTTCCCTGACCTGGAAGGGAAAGGGTTTAATCCTCTCAAGACCATTCAACAAAGGTGATGATTCATTCAGTCATAACCGCTAGGAGGTAAGACCTAGAGGTAGAAGAATCCTAACACTGTAAGATTGCAGAGGACCAGGCTAACGTCCCAGAGGAAGCAGGCTCTCTTCTGCTTCAAGCAGGCTCTCTACAGTTTCTCCATATATGAATTATTGACCAATACTCATAGCCCATTAACATGTTGCCATTAAGTGCTATGGTTTCTGTAGCAGTCAATAAGGAATAATTAGAATGGTCATTGCTGAAACATTAGAAACACACTAGTGAGTTGCTAATGGGCCAGCAGAGCAAAAGTTCAATTCTAATAAGATTGGAGAGGGGCTGGGAGATGTTTACTTATTGCAGCTCATGGAGTAAGGGGGAATCAGATCATTTCAGCCTGCTGCCATCCAATACCCTGCTCCCAGCAGACTTACAGAATGGACACTAAAGCATGTAGCACCATTATCCACTTAATGAAAAATTAACAGGGCTTCCCAAACAGTTCTGAAGTGCATTATATTCAACCCAGTCCACCTGAGGTGCAGTGATGGGGAGATGTAATTGGAGCTATGGATCTAGAAATCTTGTAGCAGGAAAACTTCCTAGTAGAAGAAGCCAATTATCAGAGCAGTCAAGCAATTTCTGTTCTCAAGTATCTCAACATCCAAAATCCTACATATAAAGAAGACTATCAAGATAGGAGAGTAACTCTGGAAACACAAGTCTTCTCAGAGGTCCTCAGATGTATGCAAATCAGGGGCCATGTTTTGAACATTTTAGGTCCATTTTTGGGAACTTTTTTTTTTTTTTTAAATAACTAGTACTCATATACCACATAATGTCCATTCAGGCAACACCTGACTGCATATAACTCGATGGCCCCATGAGGTTATAACAGTTTCAGAAATCCCTATCAGAGAATCAGACACAGCAAACACAAGAGCTTCCCACACTTAACATGTGTATTCCACGTCTCTTGTATACAGAGCAAATGCACTGCCAGGTGTATAATGGTGCATATACAACCTATAATACAGATGTCTTCATAGTCACAATAAATGGCTATGTTACTGGCTTATGTATGCACTGTACTTTTTATCTAAAAAATTTACCAAGTAACAGTGTATGCTTTGACTCATAGGCAGCAGCATCCAATCTCATGCATCATACATCTCGAGTGCTGTAGCGTTCTCTCTGTTTAATTTTCTTTCAAAAATATTGTGAAGTGCATTATGGGTCTCAAATGCAGCAAAATCAGTGCTAGAGATAGCAGCATCAAGAGGCAAAGGAGAAGTATCAATGTGGCAGTGAAACAAAAGGTTATGAAACAACACAAAGGTGGAGAATCAGTAAATGCTATTGCTTGCAACTTAGGCATGTCACACTTAACAAATTACTACCATCTTCAAAAAACAAAGAAAAAATTCCCCAGCCTGTTGTACCTCCACTGAAAGCTACACAAGGCTAAAGAGAGGGACCTATATCAGATACAGAGAAATTGCTAATGATGTGGATTGAGGACCAAACCCAAAAACAAATCCCATTAGCACACTGGCCACCACCACTGCTAAGGCACAAAGCTTGTTCAAGTTGCCTAAAGAAAAAGCAAGACCAGACTATGATAACAGTGTTTGCACAATGTCCAAATCACGTAACATCCTATTTCGCTGGATGCATCGTGGATGTTAAATGATGCATGACTGTACATTTCATTGATGTTTTAAAAACCCAATGTTAAAACATGGAGTGAGAAGTAGGGAGAGTGTCAGAGGAAAAGTGGATCATAAAGCAGTGCTTCACTTAAAGTATATGGGTGGAAGGAAAGGAACATCTCTTGAATTCAGGATTGTAAAATGACCTTTAATAAGTACCAGAAATGATAAGCAAGAAAGAATGCATCTGTTCTGATTACATTAGAATAAGAATCACACGCATGATTCTTCTCTGTCTTGAAAAAAAAAAAAACTAACCTGCGAAAGGTCAATTTCTATTCATTTGCTTCGTATCTCTTTGGGACATACGACTGCTCTGGCTCTCCTCTTTTCTCCATATTGTACCCATACACTACCATCAGAATATCCAGAAGGGCAAAATTTACCAAAAACAAATAAAACACAACAAATCCTGGTCCAAATGGGAAGTAGTGGTAAGAAGGGAAATCTGTTAAATCAATCAATGCTTGCCCTTTCAAGTTGTTTAAAAGAAAGAACACTCTGAAACTATACTTGCTGTCCGCCATAGTGATGCAGGGTATTTTAGAAGTAGCCCAGTCTCTTGTTTTACTATGCTCAGTGGCGAGAACAATTTTTTTTTTTTAATTTTTATTGTGATTTGGGTGATACAGAGCAAATTCATTTTCCATATATCATTTCATACACATTTCGTTTCATGGTACTGACTACAATTTCCCACAATGTAACAACAGCTCTCTTCCTCCTTCCTCCCTGTCATCACCTCTTCCCTGTGTCCTTTCCTATGCACTTCTGCCTCCGGAGCTATCTCCCTGGCGAGAACAACTCTTAAATATTCTTAACTTTAGTCGTGACCCCTTTCTGCTGTCACTTGTATATGCAACAGCTTACTGGAGAAAGGTTTTGTATATGCCCAGACTTCAAAGCAGCTCTGGTATCCATAGTTACTGACTCATCCCGTCAGGCCAGAGCCCTGATTCCGTAGCCCTCGGCAGGGCTGCGCCTTCTACAGTATCGCGTGATGCAGCACAGCTCCAGAGCAGCTGGAAATTAGGGCTGTCCCTTTTTTTTGGAAGATGGGAGGCAAGCAATAGCTTGTTATCGCTCTTTCTTTTATCTTCCTCATTAGTTACTTTAATAGCACACATCTGAGGACTGAGGCTGAAGGAGTTAAACCATACACATTATCTCTTCCTCCCCTTTAAAGACAGCCTGAGCCACAGCACTGGGAGCAGCTCTTGCTTGCAGCCCATCCTTTTAAACCTCCCCATGGCATCACTTATCTGCCACATGTTCAACAAACAACCCTACCCCCAAAATATTCATTAATGCAGATTCACAGTTAAAATGGCTCCAGATTAAAGCCGAGTCAGTCATAATTGAGAGGGTGCTAAGCTGGATGACTATCAAAAGACATTTGATTAGGGGGCCTGCCAAAACGCAGTTCTAAAACCACAATTTCCATGCACAGTGTAATGGGTATTATGGATAATTACCCAGAGTGCACTACTCAGCCACACAGCTGCCTACAATTACGTCCCAAACAGCTTCCTCCTCCGCTTCACCCTTCAAACTCTCCACATGACGACTCTTTACAGTTTTTTCAAGGGTTGGTATCTTTCTGAGATTAACAGGGGTAGGGCCCCCGGAGTTATACAAGGTGGGGGTGGGTGGGAGAAAGACTCAACAACTGTGCGTCCCGAGGCCAAACGCCACATGTGGAGCAGAATGTTCCTGGGTTAAGAGAAGGGAACAGTCAGGGTTTATGGAATGCTCGGGACTGCAAGGCAGGGTAGAAAGAAGCACTTCCTGAAGAAACAAAACTGCCCAATCTGCCAAGAGGCTCAAGGCTACTGTAGGCCTCTCACGTGACTCGGCTGCTTGGTATTTATGTGCATTCTGAATTAATATTAGTTTCTTTATTAAGTAAGAAAGCCAGGGCCCTTTGCCATCTGTTCATCATTTTCTTTACCACTAGTAGGAAAGCAGAAGATTCAATAACAGCTTTACAAAGGGTCATAACCAGGTTTACCTGCAGCTGTACAGCCTGCGCTTAGGCCCGAGGCAGTGGCAATAAAGTAATAAAAGCTCCTGTTTGTGAAACAAGATAAATCAATAAGGGCTGCCCACATGACAGAGCTACTTTCAAAAGGCCTCAATGAGTCTAGGCGAGACTGCGTTCCTCAAGCCTCATATAAACCAGGCCAGTTATTATTATTAGGGTTATTATTATTAGGAAAGCAGTGAGGAGAAGAAAGGGCCAATAGGGGACAGATGGTCCCACTTCTTCTACATGACTTAGCACAACAGAAATGCTTAGAAAATAATAGTACCAAACACTGCCTTAGAAGGTGGACTAAGCCTTAACAGAAACTGTATACATACTAGATGTTGATATATTTCCACCTTCATGAATGATTCAAGACAGGGACCGCCATATGTATACCCTCTTTGACAACTTGCCTTTAATAAGCCTTAGGAGCTGTGGTGGTGCAGTGGTTAAACCATTCCTGGCTGCTAACCAAAACGTGGACGGTTAGAACCCTCCAGAGGAGTCTGCTTTCATAAGGATTTACTGCGTTGGAAACCTTATGGGGCAGTTCTACTCTGCCCTATAGGGTCACTGTGAGTCTGAATCAACAAACTGGCAGTGAATTTGGTTTTTGGTTTTAATATCAAAACTCAAGCCAAAATCACTGCCGTTGAGTCAGATCTGACTCACAGTGACTCCCTCCCCTCCTTGGGTTTCTGAGGCAGTATCTCTACGGAAGTAGATTGCCCAGTCAGAAACTAAAAACCAGTCCATTTAGATATACCTAATTTAATTTACTTTGTTAATGATATTCAGGAAAAAGGTTCTGTAGCATGCCTTCTCCAATGAGAAGTGGTACTCGTTCTGCCTATAGGTTTTTCTGCCAATAGTTTTGGACAAACAGTAACACTGTTCTTTTTCTAACAAAATAATGGAGGTCTGTGTCATCTCTCAACTATTGTGATGCCACATAACTTTTTTTTTTTTAATTGTGATTTGGGCAAAAGTTTACAGAACAAATTCATGTTCCATACAACAGTTTACACACATTTTGTTTCATGACATTATTGCAATCCCCATAATGTTAACAGCTTTCTTCCCACTTCCTCCCTGTGGTTACCTTTTCCCTGTGTCCTCCTTTCCTGTGCATTCCTGTCCCCTGAGCTATCTCCCTGTGAAATACTGCCCTTCTGATTTCCCATGGTTGATTGTTCCAAGGAGTGTACCTATCTGGTACAAGTGTTCACCTTATATGCTTGTCTATTGTTTAGCTGGAAGCCACAGGAGTGAGTTCAGTTCTAGGTCTGAAGGGTCATTAGGGGCCTAGGTTTCACCAGTCTCTATCAGACCAATAAGCCTGGTCTTTTTTTTTTTCCTTTTTTATGATTTTTGAGTTCTGTTCCACATATTTCTTCCATTCTATCCAGGATCTCCTGCACTGATCCCTTTCCTAGTGGTTGACGGTGGTAGCTGGGGGCCATCTAGTTCTGGACTCATGGTCACATAAGGCTGAGGTTCACATGGTCTATTAGTCCCTTGGACTAACTGTTTCCATGTGCCTTTGGTTTTCTTCATTCTTCTTTGCTCCGAATGAGGAAAGACAAATTGTTACATCTTAGGTGGCTGCTTACAAGCTTTTAAGGTCCCAGTCACTACTCACCAAAGTAGAAAATAGAACAATGTTTTTTGCATCAGTTGCGCTTGATGTCCCCCATGTCCACCGTCTGGAGCCCAAGGGTCCAACAACTTGCTCCCTCGGGGTGGTTGGCACCATGCAACACACTTTTAAAAAACCTAACCTCAAAAGATTGACTAATCTCTCATAATTTTATTTCTCCAGTTAAGAGTCATTTGAGATACATAATGTGCTAATTGCATCCTGTAGTATTTTACCAAAATATCATGCAACACATTCATGTAGCCTCAGATACAGGCTATGACATACAAGGGCTGAGGACAAAATCAGTCTGTATCACTGAAACACAACTTAAAAATGATTTTGGACATAAGTCTTCATAGCTACTCTCCCCAGATTTTGCAGAAGTGTTACATATATTTTTATGCATTCTACAGTGTTGGTATATTGTAAACTATCTTATTGATAGGAAGGGCACTGGCAACTCACTGGTTAGGCCAGAATATGAAAATAAGGGAGAGCATATTTAGCACAGTTAAAAACCTCAAAAACCAAATTCACTGCCATGAAGTCGAATCCGACTCATAGCGACCCCTCCTTGGGTTTCTGAGGTGGTATTACTACGGAAAACCTCAAGGGATATATAAACAGTTAACAATCGCCATCATCATCATCATCTCAAAAGTCATCTGAGTCCAGCACTCAGTGCTCACCTCCTCAGGCTCTATCAGCTTGAATTCCATGCCTCGACCCGTCCAGGCTATGAAGTGGGCATTGGCTGGGTCATCCAGAAGGGTAACCAGGAATTGCCAGAGCTGTAGGGAACCTCGCCTCTGGTAAGGGGGCCCCTCTCGATACATAGTGGGCTCCTGTTTGACTTTGCCTGTTTGGAGCAAAGGTACATATGCATTACTTCAGTCTCACGTTTCTCAGGTAATTTTGGCAGAAAGAACTGCGAATGACATTAGTCTTGGCAAGAATAATGGAGGTGCTCTGACATCTTTAACCCTCCATCTTAGTAACAAACTTCAGATGGGGATACTTACCTTCCAGTCTTTCAGGCACCACACAAGTGTCGTCAAAGTACAACCGGGGATCTTTCTCATATGAAAAACCTGAAAGACAATTTAGAAAGAAAGACCATGATGCTTAACAGCCTCTATCTGTGTTGTATTAAAATTATGGATTTAAGGACTACAATGGGATTCTATCATTTCAGGCCCTAAGCTCTATGCTGTATCTATCCCAGACTGTATTTTCAGGGACTTCAGAGGACTTAGGCACTCACAGTCTGATGCTGTCACCTGAGCCTCAGTCCAGAGAGCATCAATTCCTGCTATCAGAGCTAAGACTGCGGTAAAGCACTGAGTCATCAGTAAGTTCCTTCACAGCTTGCTTCTGAGATCTGCATGGATCAATGTTGCTGTGACTAAGCCTTTATCTCTGAAAAGACATCTCATCTATTTCAGTTGGCCCACTGGATGGATTTGGTTGATCTGTACATAGTCCCATCATTTTCCTTTAGCTAATGTCAATTTCAACCTTTCCTATAATTTGCCCAGACTACTCACATACCTCATTCAATTATGAAAGAGAATGGAATATAGAGAAATGTTGCCAAAATGGAGAAAGATTTGAGGCTGGTGGAATGTTCCTAATAGCAGACTTGGGGCTGATGAAACACTGGTAAGAGCAGGAAGCTTAAGAGCAAATTGGAGGTGGTTTTCTCACAGACACAGTGGAGGAATCTCAAGAGACTCTAGCAATAAAATGTCTTCATTTTACAGATAACAAATCAAGCGTCAAGAAAGGGGGAACTGACTGGTCCAATGACACATGCTATGTGGAAATGAAAGCAGGGTAAAACAAAGTGCTAAAGGGGTCAAGGAGAAGGAAAAACAACTCAATTCCCAAACCCTCAACAGACACATTCATTGCTGACCACCATGTCTCCAGGCATCCTCACAGATCAGTGGCTCAAATCAAAGCCAGTTTACAGACAGCCTCACTGGGACCACATCCTTCCTGTAGTCCAGCCCACTCAGGTGTGGAGATTCCAATGTTGTCCTCTACGAACATATTTCTTAGGAGAAAGCCCCAGGAGCTTCTGCCTGATAAAAAAGGCTTCCCTGCACTCAGGTCTCCAATAAATAAACCTAGCTCACAGTACAGGTATGTGTATTTCAAGTATGCAGTGGGGATAGGCAGGGAATGACGCTCTACAATGAAGAGTTTTCATCAACTTTTGAGAGGGATTTGCTGTGATTTAAATATTCTCATTGGTAAAGGTGCCAAGAAATAGTTGTTCTTTCCTCTTCACAATCAACCCAAATCAAGCAGCTTCTTGGTAGGCCCTGCATCAACATCTCAACAACAGAAAAAAAAAAAAATCCAATTAAAATATGGGCAGAGGAAATTAACAGACAGTTCACCAAAGAACACATTCAGACAGCCAACAAACACATAAAGAAATGCTTGTGATTATTAACCCTTAGAAAGATACAAATCAAAACAACAATGAGATATTGGTATGACACCTGTATAAAACAGTATAGTTCTTCCTTAAAAAGTTGGAAATAACACATCCAATAGAATAGAATTGAGAACCTAGAAATAGATCCATCAGCCTATGGTCAGCTGATCTTTGACAAAGGGCCGAAATCCATTAAATGGGGAAGAGATTGTCTGTTTAACAAATGGTGCTAGCAAAACTGGATATTCATTTGCAGAAAAAGGAAACCAGACCTATTCCTCCCACCATACACAAAAACTAACTCTAGGTGGATCAAAGACTTAAACGTGAAACCTAAACTATAAAATACCTCATGGAAAAACTAGGGGCAAATTAAGGGGCCCTGATATATGACATAGCATAACTCAAAATGCACAAACAGCATAAGATAAACTAGATGAATGGGGCCTTCTAGAAATCAATTTGTATGTGCTTCCAAAGACTTCTCCAAAAGAGTCAAAAGAGAACCTACAAATTGAGAAAAAATACTTGGAAATGACATATCTGACAAGGGACTTCTCTCTAGAATTTATTAAAAAAAAAAAACTCCAAAACCTCTACAACAAAAAAACAAATAATCCAATTAAAAATGGGGAGAAGACATGAATAGACATTTCAGCGAAGAGGATATACAGGCAGCCAACAAACATGAAAAAATGCTCATGGTATTAGCCATTAGAGAGATGCAAATCAAAACAACAATAAGATACCATTTTGCCCCAGCACTAGGAGCAAAGTTCAACAAGACAGAATATAACAAATCTTGGTTAGGATGTAGAGATATTGGGACTCTCATACACTGCTGTTGGGACTGTCATATGATACAACCATCTTGGAAAGCAGTATGGTGATTCCTTAAAAAATTGGAATTAGAAATACCATTTGACCAGCAATTCCATTACTAAGTATATTTCCTAAAGAAGTGAGAGCCAGGACAAGAATGGATATATGCACACCCATGTTCAT